AGTTAGAAGAATACTTGCTGTATATGCCATACCTAAAACTCTTGAGACCTGGCTCCAAACACGTCAGCTAAATGCTGTGTTGTTTAGCACTCTCTGGTTGCACTGGGATAACAGAGGTGCACTTGCAAAGGTGACCTTTTATATTCTCCATCTCATATTAGCTTCTTGACTTGTACTCGCACATGTAAAGCCAAGGACTTGTGCATGTAAAGGAGCACAGTCAACAGAGCAGAGCAGGACTCCAGTCCTACAGCTAAGCACACACCTCTATGACACTCAAACATGCTATTCATTCAACTTGACTTACCAGCTATAGCCACTTCTACCCTCTTCAAGACAAAGTAAACATCTAAGCAGAAGGAGGCTTACCTAACCAGCTGGCCTCCACCCTGTAATGCCCGAGTCAGGCGATAGCAACTCACATCAGAGAGATGGCAGCTTTGTCTCTCAGCCCTCCATTGCAGTGGACCTGGTGGCTCCCATGGCCAGCTACCACAGGTGAGGAACATTTAGGAAAATTGCTCCTTATGAATAGTCAGTGGTTAGTTACCTGCTCTGTGCTGAGGGAGAAACCTAGCTGAAACAATGCAGACGGGCTTAATGTGCACAGTGTGCACTGTCACACTCAATTTGGCACATCGGCAGGCATGCCACCACATCTTTGGGTCAAAAGCACAGTCACTTCACCCAGTGACACACACCCAAGGTGCTGGGATCGAGGACAGGCTCACAGGCAGCACTGGGCATGAGGGCAGCCTGCATCGTACTGGGTTCAAGACAGCATCGTCACAGCCTGAATTTCTGCAGGTGTGAGAAGACACCTTTGTAGATCGACACACTATTGTCAACCACACACTGGGCTTTCCTCGTCAAAGAAAAAGAGATGGGAATACCCAAAGGCCTTAATGTGGACACGTTTCCAGAACAACCAGCCATAACATTAACACATCTGCTACAGCAGTGAACCTGCCTCGTTACCCAAAGGAGAGATCTCCCTTTGCTTTTATCCCAGTGGCCTCACAGGCAACCTGCCCGAGCTGACCTGGTTAGAAGTAGGCAGGATGGTACACGCTTTTGAAGAGATAAGAGAGTTTTTCTATTACTGTACTGCCTCTGCATTGCCTCTGCAGCTCAGTGCTGTGCTTCCTGCAGATTTCCTGGAAGGTGGCCCATGTCATCCTGACCTGCTGCAGCGACGGTTTGTCATCCTGCATCTGGAACACAATCTTTTGCCATCAACTGAGGTTTCTTCCCTCAGTTTGCACCCTTCTCAAGTTCAGCAAGCTGTGTTTTTCAAGCTTGAGAAAAGTCCCGTTCTGAAACAGCTTCTCAACCTAGTTGTCTTCCTCAGCCTTGTTTACCTCCTTGCTCTCTGCAGCTTCTGCAGCTGTTTTGTGCAGGTGGAGGCAAAGCTGGGGAGATGCCAGCTGCTGAAAAATGCACAGCTGTGACTGCTTGGGTGATACCGGGGCAAAACTATTGCTGACCAAAGATAAAAATACTTTCATCAGCATCTCAGCAGCCCTTCTGGAGCCCTTGGAGATGAGCCTCAGGGTGCAGAGACCTGCCTGCTCATGACAGCCTCAGGTGTTTGAGTCAGTTACTCCAAGAGACCTTAGTCCTGGCTCAGGGAAAAAAAAAATCATGTTATTTTGCCTGTGAAATACAATTAGAATTAGTATTAAATTCTCCTGGGCATCCTCCTGTGTACATCAGAAGCTATTTTATAGTGCACAGCGGCCTTGAGAACCCCACAGCTCAGAGCAAATATCTTAGGGGAAAATCCCTCCACATCGAAATAAATAGTAAAGTAGAAGTTGGCTGTCTGCTTAAACAAGGCTGGGGCAGCAGGGCTGAACAGACTTCCATCTCCTTCACACTCAGACCCTGACTCTTCAGCTTTTTCTTTTTGACATATGATTGGTACCTGGGGCCTCCAGCTCCCCTTCCCTCCAAGGGCCAGACAGATCCGAGCTGCTTAACTTGCAAGACTGAGTAAGGCTGAGTGCAGTCAGGGCAGGGCAGCCTAAGCCTAGAACAGAAGAATTACAGAGAAAGCTCCATGAGAAATACCAAACTTTCTCCAATGGATTATCCATCTCCTCTGGTATAACACGGGTCTTTTGCAAAGCCTGTTCCTCCTCAGGTTGAAGTTTCAGGCACATCAGTTTTGGGGAATGACATTTCAATTTGTTCTCCATTGGGCCAGGAGCCATTCACTGAATCTTTTAATATCCTGCATTTCCTGAGCATCATCTCTGCTGCAGTTGAAGTATGGGACTATATGAAGACAAAAGCTGATTTAGCTCTCTCCTCCTAGTTGGAAAGCCTTAGGCTTCATCCTGCTTTCTTCCCATTGATACTCTGACACCCTGGAATCATATTTCTGTTTGGCGCAATGACTACAAATATGGCAAAATGAATTCTGTTGTCAGGCAATAATTCCTGATAGCTGATGGTGGACTTGCAGTGGTGTAATCACGCATAGAGTTTGCTCCAATGTGTTTTTAATACAACTAGGGAGACTCAGGCTATTTATTATGGGAGTCATATAAACAAGTCATTCAAACAAAATCCTTCTAATTTTACAGCAGTCTAGACATGTAGCATATTGCAAAGCCATGTCTAAGGACAGTGTCATTAAACTTTTTATCCTTATTGCCAGTTCAGAGGAGAACTGAGGATAAATGTGGCAGTCTGGCACCTAACATATTATCCCACAGTACCTAAAAGGAGTGTCAGAGTCATCTGAAAAGCTCTTTGATTATTACACGATAAGAAAGGTTCGTTTCATGTTTGCTTTGCCGGGATAACATTGGCCTTACTGTGTTTTGCCAAGTTTGCACACTTTCTGTGGGAAACCTCCTCATTCCAATAAAATGGGATGATAGGAAGCATTTTATTAGAGCTTACTGGAAAAATGTGCCATAAGTGCCAAGGAGCTGGGACTGTTGTCCAGCTGGCTGCAGACAGACACTGTGTAAGTTATAAAAAATTGCAAGATTTCTAGGCCACATGGAAATTCCCATCTCAGCTGGTGCCTGGTCTTCCCAAAGGCACACACCTTCCATGAAACACACGCAAACCTTGACACGCAAATCCCAAACAATGTCTAGGAAATACAGTGCAAGGGTTGCTTTAGGTCAGTGGTATTTGGAGGAGCTGGGGTTGTGTGGAGCCGATCTCTCTGCTGGAAGCCTCCCGTGCTCCCTGGGACATGGTGGCAGCACGATGCTCCCATATACCTTCAGGGTGCCTCCCCTCTTTTTCTTTTATTTTTTTCTTTTCTTTTTCTATGACCAAAGGTCATCTTGCAAAGTAAAGCTCAGCACAGAGCTCTCTTTGCAGACTCAGTGACATCTGGAAGTAGAAATTGCCTCCCAAACATTTATAAGATGTCAGCAATTGCCAGATTACTAGTTTTCATCTAACCTGAAACTTCCTTACTGCATTTTTAGCTCTTTGTTTATTGTTTATTCATGAAGATATTGTAGTAATTAGAGTTTATGGCTAACTTTCTAAATGAGGGAATATGAAGTTCAAGGGACTGCAGACTGAAAGAGAGAAGTCCTGAGGAGATGTTTGGAAGAGGAGGCTAGGTCTGAGCTGTCCTTTCCTGGCACTGGAAATGCCACGGGGTGAAGGAAGGCAGAAATTGGTTGTGGGAAGAGGCAAAGGAAACTGCAGCCACTAGTGAGTGAGCGGCAAGAGTGAGAAGCATAGTGTTAAAAAAAGCTTCATGCTACATCTGGGTACGATGCATTATTGGACACAGTATCTGTGGAAAGGCAAACTGAGGTAGAGGGGGATATGGCTTCTTAAGCTATTGTAAAAAGGCTTAAGCTCATTGCCATCACATAAATATTTTGAATGAAGTTCAGGCTCCACTAAAGTCTTTGAGAATTTTGCCATCAACTTCAGCAGGGCTAAAATTTCAGTCTTTACTTTTTTTGTTTGTTTGTTTGTTTGTTTGTTTTTTTGTTCTGATGTTTTGTTGTTGGTTTGTGGTATCTCACCCCCACCCCCTCACCCCCCACCCCAAAAAAAAAAAAAAAAAGCCAAAATACAGACAGATTGGTATTAAAGCTCTGAATCCATATTTAGATCTACATTCCTACTTTAACCAACTTAAAAGAACAGAGGCAAAACACAGAGTACTAATGGACTGAACATTCAGATCTAATCTTAAAATCCTTCAGTGGAAGTAGTCCAGTCCTGCAGTGCTGGTGTAGCCTGAGACTGAGATATGAGACACGGATCACCACTCTAAGTGCAGATCAGATTTTATTAAAAATAATTGAGGTCAAAAATACCCGATGAAAAATAACTAGAAAAAATAGTAATAGTTTTTCCCCGGTCTTTCTTTTTATATCTGGTCACTCCTGTATTCATATCAATGCAAAGTAGTGATACAATATCAGCTATCACATGTATTTCAGTTTAAACTTTCAAATTTTACTTTCTCCTATATATTATCATTTTAATACAAATAATACATAAAAGTAACAATTCAGTGAACTTCCAAAGTGCTTCCCCTTCTATTAGTATATGAGATATATACTTGTGTGAGTGGCAAATATTTTATAACATGACTGAGCTGGAAAAAATGAGGGATGGAATTTTGGGAGAAGGTAACAAAAATAGAAAATATTTAATTTTTCTTTGATCTGAAATGTTTTATCTGAAATAAACAATTTAGTGTTGAACTTACTTAGCTCTTAAAAACAAAACAAAACAAAACATAAAGTTAATTCAGAAACACAAGCATGTAAATGACCTTACACTATTCGTGTGATTAGAAGTTGGGCAACATTAATGTATTTTGCAATATTAAGGTGAAACAAGAGCAAAAGAAAGTCTCTGCATTGAGACAGGAAAATAAACTTTGGGAATACACATCAATGTGTGCAAAGAACATATTCTAGTATTCTAGCATGTAAACTGTCTGCAAAAGTTTAGCTAGCATACAAACAGTCTTACAATGTGTTTGCATTTTGCAGGCCAACAAACACTCATCGTTAAATCAGTGAGGCCAGTCAAGATGTCTGTAACACAGCAAGACACACAGCAAAAACAGCAGCAAGAACAGCAACAAACTTGTCTCTCCCTGCCTGCAAACATCACGAACAGTGATCATGCCTAGTAGGCTGTTGGGAAGTGCATTATCTTCTGACCTTAATATCGTAGCAGAGAGAAATCATCTTCTCAAAGGCTGGTACTTTGATCACACTCAGAAATAAAGATCAGAGGATGACTAAGAGTCTTGGGAATTGGGTTCTTGCTCTCTGTCTTGCTCATGCAGGCACACAAAAATTCACACGAAGGCACATTTTCGTGTATTTGTTATTGACGCAGACACACATCAGTGAGGGATACTTACAGTGCACGTACTTAACTGACACATTACACAAATGTTTGCTGTGTACAGAATAATCAAGGAAACAGACTCATGTTTATTATTACTGAATCAGCAGCAGTCTAATGGATTAAAAACATCCTCATTTTTTTTTCCTCTCTCCTGTTGTGAAAGTGCCAGTGTTGTAAACTCTCCCTGCAAGAGAAGTGGGTGGAGATGAGACGACTCATGACCTCCACGATCTGTATGCTCCCAATCTCTCAGGTTAGGTCTCCTGGCCATAATCCAAAATCCAAGAAAATCAGCCACAGATACTTGGAGCGAATTGGATTGGGAAAGAAGACAGTAAATGTCTGTTTCCGGTTCACAGGCCCCTTAGCGTCACCACATATTTTGGAAGTCTGTCTGGCTTCCTGACTTTGAGAGTCTCTTGATTTAAACTTCAGGGAACAGTAGTGAAAGGGGGGAAAACAAGACTTACCTAAAACCTCTTGAATAGTTGGAACATTTTATTTTCTCTTTTTCTTTGAAAACGTTTAAAGTTTTAATTTATTAGATTATTTATTTATTTATTGGTAGGGATATTTCTGCTAACTCCTGGTACTAGAATGAGTTGTGGTTAGTTACATATATACTCTTCAGATTGGAAGAGATGTCCAGAAATGAGTCCGAACTTTTCCTTAAACACTCAGATTTCCACCAATTACTCTGGTATCAGAGCTGGAACTTAAGGCCACTGTGACCCAGTACAAGAAGGCACTTGGTCTACACTGACACAGTAATTTCTTAAACTTGACACTACTTCCAGTCTCATTTAAACACATATGCAAATTGGTCCTTGTGAAGCTTTTATGCCTCTAAATTAACTCAATAAATTTGCTCAATCTGATTCAGTCTGTCTGAGCATCTGCTTTTAATATGGGAAGAACGGGATTTAGCACTGCTTTGCATATTGTTATAAAACTATTTTTAATCTCACTGTGATGAGCAGCACAGCACAGAGGCTTGGCTACCACTCAGAGTGGGAAAGTGGCATGTAATTATGAGGGACTGTACCTGTTCTGGCCCATTCAAATAGCTCATAATAGCACAAGAGCAAGGGCTAAGGTCCTACAATGGGCTGAAGAGGGAGAGAGATGATGTGAAAGTAGGCAAAAAGGTAGCATTGCCCAAACTGGAAGCAGTAGCTAGAGAAAAGGAGAAGGTGAAAGTTAGGGCAAAAGCAAAAAGGGCCCTTTTACCTTTCTAATGGCAATTCCCAGCATGGCCATTTCTGTCACTGTTTGACAAGATCTGTGTTGGTGGAGGGGCTGGGCTTCAGGGTTTTGCGTCTGGTTGGGTGCACGTGATGGGGCTGTAATTTCTGAAGCCTCATGCTCAATACTGGGTTTTCTTTTGTTGTCGTAATCAGAGTACAGACTGTTCCTTCCAGAGCAAGGACAGCATTCCTCATGGGCTCCTCACCACCCTGGCACTATTACCCCACCTCAGCAAGCAACTCCTACCCACGTTTCCATTATTTTCAACATTCTTGCAAAAGTGACTCTGGAAGGGTCACATTTCCATGACCGGGCCTACTGATACGTTTACTTTCCCTTAGTCAGAAAGCTGAACTGCTTACACTTGGCAGCCTGCCTGGGCAAGCACACAAAGCGCAGCATTGCCTTTCCATCCCAGGCACTTATCAAGGGATGCAGAAGTCTTCCTCATCTCTCCTTGGGCTCCTGTTCCTCCTGTGCTGAACGCCTCTTCCAAGCCTGTTGCAGTTCTGCCTGCTGGTAGCAAATGTGCAGCAGGTGGTGGTGGAAGACAACCTGCTGCTGTGGAAGAGAATGAAACAAGCTAATTCAAATAGCCCACTGCCTGCTTTGAAAAGGCCTTCCTGAGGGAAAAACCCTGTAGATTTTAAGGACTGATCTTTTTCATTGAAGGAAACTATACTAGCAATTGGTCACATAAACCCACCTCCCAAGTGTTCACAGTGCTTTCTTTTCTTCAGCACGTAGTGTGCTTGTGAAGGCAGCTGGCAGAGGCTGGTCTCCTCGAGGCAGCCTCTTGCAGGCACAGATCAACCACAGGCCCAGGGGACATTTAGGCCTCCCCAGGATCAGGATGGCAGATGCGTCTACCCAGTGTGATGCAGCCATGGGTGTGAGGCTGCACTTCCTCACCCTGCAAAAGGCAAGGGCTGTGTACATGGCCAAGCTGACCTTAGGAGACCAGATTTCCACAGAAGTGCGAGGCGGAAATACCTCGTTACACTTGTTCTTGGGCAATTTCTGGTCCACCTGCTGCAGAGATGTGTCTGCTCCTTGCTCATCAAAGTGCTATGCCGCCAGCAGGAAAAGGGAAGAGGGCGTTTTGTCCGAGGAGGTGTGGGGCACCAAAACACTCCTCCAGACGAACTCTGTCACCACAGGTGTGTTCAGGCCAAACCATCACTTGGCCCTGGCTGCTCCCCAGAGGCAGAACCTGTTGTGCATGTTTGTCATACTTAGCTTTGCTGTGAACTACATGCAACAGAAATAGGAGGAGGGAAACACTCAGATGGGTCAGGTGGCATCACCTTCAGCACTTCCATTGAAAATCCTTAGAGAAAGGCAGGGCAAGTGATGGGAAGTGTTCCTTTTGCCACAAGCAGTTCATGCCCCAAAGCTGCTTGTGAAACTTTTTGCTACCCCAACAGCTTGGATGCTAAGCCTCTGAAAATGGAGCTTTTCTGTCTAACTTTTTCAACTCCACATCATCAAAGGTAGATTCTAGCAAGTGAGAAATTTGCCATCAAAAATTTTTACCAAATAAATCTTTCAGGTTTTTTTTGTGTGTGTGTGTGACAAAGAGGCTCTTGTCATAGTAAAATCATTACTTAACCCTAAAGAGCTAAATCCCTGGTCTTGTGTAATCATTCCTGATAGACACCAAGCTTCTCTCTGTGGCTCCATTTCCCAGAGGCTTCTTGGCAATATTACAGCCTGTGCTGGAAAATCCTGCAGGAAGCTTGTCCTGGCAGCTGGTGACAGACCTGAGCAGCAGCTACCATCAGGTATTGGTTTTAAATTCTGGAAGACACCTATGTGGCCTATCAAGTTATGCAGTAACACAAACATAAACAGCACTAAAGATATCCATCTCTTCGTGTTAAGTCTCTTGCACTTTTTGCTTTTCTTGTGTCTGTTGGTTACGCTGGTGAGGATAATGTCTTATTATGCAGTTCACGTGTGAAATTCAGAGAGTGAATGGAACTGCTTGAAAAAAAATCTCAGGTATGCTTATGCCCGGGGAAGAGAGTACGTTGTCACCATTGTCATTAATATACATTAACCTGTCATTCATCTCCCCTCTGCTCTCCTTGGAGGTATGTCAGTGATTAGATTTTGCTTTCTGAAGGAGCCTAGTAGGGGCCTAACTCTGTCCTAAATCAATAACAAATCTGTTTGTGTGAGGACTTCAGTGGAGGTAGAGAATACTTCTAAGCCCCTTCCTTCCTCACCTCTGGTTTACCTCTTTGTTGTGCATGCTCTGTCTTTCCGATTACTTGTCCTCCTTTTCTACCAAATATGCTTAACTGTGACACTGAAATTATTGATGACAGTGAAATATCCTTTGGCCCACTTTACCAAGGTTTTGAATTTCTTTCTATTCTCATTTATATTAGTGTGAATCTGCATTTATTAGTGGAAGTAATATCCAAAGAGAGGTTTAGGGGCCTTACATCGTTTCAGGTACCTTGCTGTCTATTGACGTCATCTAACAAGGAACACAGAGCTGAAACAACTTGTAGATCTCTCCAGGTTTACAATGGGGATAACAGAAATTGCCTTTTGTAGCTCTGTCGTTTATTTTAGAGGACTGTGTTGCATGTTTGCTCCTTGGCAGGATGAGAGCTACAGAGTGAATAAATATACTTCAACCACAAATGAGCAAGCAAATGGAAGGAAGTGCTGTTTGAAAAAACGCTTTCAGTGACTTATTCAAGTTACAAGAATGGCAAGAGGCATTTTCTAGGAAGGAAGAGAGTTTCTAAATTGTTTTATGCAAGATGGTCTGATTTATGACTTCATTCTGAAAAAAAAAAATTAGAGGTAACTACTGTGAACGGAATAGCTCTGGCAGAACATAAGCACAGTGGAGTTTGGTTTCTTTCAGAAATAATATATTATATCACCATGATCATTATTTGTTGCAACATCACAAAATACGATACTGAGATTATATTGCTGTACTCTGTAAGTCCATTTAGTCTTTTTTTTTTTTTTTTCCCCAGTCTGACCTCATTCTAGTGAGAGAGAGCCTACTGCTTTTCCCCACCGTTGTGGCCAATAACTAGCTCCGTGTATGACTTATTTGTTTTCTCATCAGTCTTACAGATGTTGGATATTTCTCTAGTTGGCAATATGTCTGATACCAGAAGAGGAGCTGAATAAAGACCTCTTACTGTGAACTAACTAATCACTCACAGTCATTAGTCACTGAGTACCTTCTTTTGGATTAAATAAATACAGAATGTTACCTAATCAAACTATCTCTATTATCTCAAAGCAAAAGCTGAAGATGGGCCTGATTTCAAACTACAACCATCTCCAGTTCTGGATCTGCATATTAATCAGGCTCCAGATTTACCTCTATTAACAGGCACAACTTAATGTACTGTAGATTCTGAACCCCACATTTAAAAACACTTATCATCCAAAGCCTTAGTTCTCACTATTTTACAATGACCATATTTGGTTCAAATTCAGTGTTCTGTTCCATCTCTCTAAATTACCTAATATATACATTTCCTTTATAAACATTAACTTCTACTGAACAAAAAACCACTACAGAATAGCTGGGTTTGACTATTATCACACATAATAACTAAACCTCTTTATCATCCTCACTGTTGTATGCTTGGGTTAAGCTAGCTAGGAAACTGTTCTTGTTTAAAGTCTCATCTAGAGATGAGCCAGCTTATTACCAGTAATAGCTGTGTACAGAGGACTGAGCCATGCCATGAGGGATAGTCCCTGACAATTCTGGCTTCAGTGGTAAAGTAGGTAGGTAGGTAGATTAAACTGAGATTGTTTTTGCTATCTATTGCAAGGTACCAGCAAGGCTAACAAAGAGACTTTCTCCAGCAGTGGTGGAGGACAGTTAAAATGAATTGCTGGAATGTGGTTCTCTACAGACACAAAATCAGGTAAGTAATCTTTTTGATATTTCTAACAGCTGATACATTTAATTACATCCATAAGACAGGCTACAATCTAGTTTTGAACAGATTTCACCACTTCATTGCTAGTCTGAAACACATATGTGTTCCATTCCTGAGTCAGTTTGCAATGTTCCGTGGCCATCATCTCCTAGTCTAGAAAACAATCAGGAGGGAAAAGGAAAAAAAAAAAAAAAAAAACAAGGAAAAAAAAAACTTTTCACTTGTGAGTGCAAAAAGGTGAGGGGGGGGGGAGGGGGGGGAACAACAACAAGACAGTTCCCTGCATGAGCTGAAACACAGTATGCAAATGTATAGAAAATACAATTTACTTTTCTACTTCCAACATAGTATGTGTTGCTTACAGACAGGATTGTAGTCTTTGTCACTGTTCCTTCTAACAACTGCATATAGGTGTATGCTCTTAAAAGCACTTCTTATTCTCATGGAGGTTGAACTTTCTCTGATGAGGCAAGTCATCCTTATTTTTGGATTGAACAAAAGGAACAAAAATTGAAGGTAACTCACTGTAGGAATGTACTTAAGGGAGCACTGTGAAGTAACAGTGTGAAGTGCCTCATGTCAGCAGTATGTTCCTGGAGGACAGATCCCTGCTCCCTCCATGGAGTAACCTCTTGCATTATGCAGTATTGGTAGAGCTTCTTCACGCTTTTTCACACAAACACTGTACTTTCTCTGTCACTGAAAAACATTTCAAATGCCTTTTTTGTTGTTGTTTCTGTTTCCAATCTTTTCTTGGATTACTGAATGTACAGTGAAACCTCTTATCTTGTGCAGGAATTATGTTTATAACAGAAAAGGAACTCAGGGACTGAATGCCTCAGGGAGTTAGTTGGATGATGGGATGTAGAGACTTTTATCTTAAGGTTGCTTTCTCGAACTAGACCAAAGTTGGTAGTGACCTAAAATTGCCTCAGCCTAATGACTTTTTGGGTCTCCACTGTGAAATGTGTTTGGTGGTCTCAGTTTAATTCCTGGTAAATAGTTGCTTGCAAACTAAATTGCTTCCATAACTGGTATCCTTGTTGGCAGTCTCACAGAGAGGTCAAGGGTTTGATGGGAACAGGGACTGAGCTATTCTTTCATGCTGCTTGCTGGCCCCTTGTAGCCATGCGAACTGAAGACCAATGCAGTTTACAATGGGTCGAGGTTTGGTTGCTTGTTAATGTTTCCTTTCATGAACATAAATTGTAATATGCTAGCTCTGAGAAGTTACTTATGATTTAAAATAAAGTATCATTTATTTTAGCATGCTGAAGGCCAAGGTATCTCCAGAAGCTTCAGACAAGAAAGGAAGATTTAGCCCATTTCAGGTCATAGTCTGATTAGCATAGTTGATGATATATATCTGAATACAGATACAGTGCACAAACAGTATAATTCACATAAATAATATCTGTCAGCACTCCCCTCTCTTTTTCTCTTCTCCCAACTGCTCATTTCTGTTTTCTCTATTTTACTGGCATTTGTATTCATGTGAATATGTAAGGCACCAGATCGGGAAAATGTACAGGTTACAGAAAAGGAACCAGAAAAAATAAATACACGATGGAGTAAACGAAATCATATTGTTTGTCACATTCAGCTAGTCAAAAAAAAAAAAAAAAAAAAAAAAAAGATTTTTAAATTAATTGAAAAGCCTTCCATTATTGCACACATCTACAGATTTGAGATCCTGCAGAGTGTTGTGAACAGCAAGAGAAACAAAAACAAAAGTAGTACTTCATCAATGATTTGCACACATTTTCACAAGTATATTCAGAACATGTTCATGCAAATGTGCATTGGAAACTGATATGAGTCAGAGGTCAGTAGAAAATTCAGCTGTTAGATGGTAACAGATACATGCAAAAACTTAGTAGGATTCTCTTTTCAGACTGCACTGCCAGAACTTACAGTAAAGCTTATTTTATCTGTCAAAAAAAGCATAATAAATTGCAGCCATTGGCACTGTCAGCATGCATGCCAAGAAGGTCCAAAATGAGTGTTAGTACTGAAAATAACATCTGCTACCTGCATGGACATAGCGTGTGATAAGATGTAAAGTACAGACAGAAATACAGATCGCTTGCTGTCACGCAGACACAGACAGTTAAGCTCCAGACCTGAAAGTGAGGTTTGACCACAGCTCTAGCCTATGCATGCAAGTTCTTCAACAATTATTAGTGTAAATTGTATTAAATGCACTCCTACCAGCTGTTTAGGATTTTCAGGACAAGTCTCTTACTGTGTAGTTATAGCATTTACCATTGTAATTTTTAATTACAGGCTCTCGTATTAACTGGAGCCACATGATATTATCTTGGTGGAAGTGAATAACAACAGTGCTGTTGGAAATCTGTAAGGCTATATGCCACCATCTGAAAGTACTGAGCTGTAATTCATTTTACAGCAAGGTAGGTAGGATCAGTATTTTCCTATAGTATATACTGTCATATTTGTACATATATTCTATCTAAATATTTTGTAACATACATGTAAATTATCTGGAATTATTTTTCCAAACATGCTATCTTTCTGAATTTTGAAAATATAATCTGAAGTAGATTTTGCAAGTAATTAAGAAACCACAATGTGTAGTATAAGCATACATACACATATGATAAAAGGACAACATTTACAATACTATGCCCTTTATTTTCTTAACGGATGAACTAGAAACCAATGTTTGCCTTGCATTTTTCTTTTCCTGAGGTGAGACCTGGAGTAATTTCCTTTAAACCGAAGAACTGAGAATGATACAAAATGTGTTAGCGCATGAATGTCTAAAAACATCATAAACTTGGCATCACCACAAACACTCAAATGAGCAGAAAATGCTTGTGGAATAATGAAACAAATGAGACATGAATGCAGCCAGCCATATCATAAACCAAATTTTATGAATGCACTTGTTTGTATCTAAGATGTGGTCTGCCTTGAATTTTGCCTGTTTTTCACCAATTTGTGTAATAACTGGTATTACCTTTCCCCACCAACTTTCCTTGCTTTATTTGTAAAAGCATATTCAGTTATTGAAATGGCCAGAATGAAAGGAAGTCTATGTGATCTTAGTATATAATATCTTCTCAACTGTTTTTTTTTTTTTTCAGAAGCAATTCCTCACCAATCCACTGCTTTTCAGAAAAAGCCTACAGGTGAAAAACCAAGCCTATGGCACAGCTGCACCCGGATGCAGCACAGCTGTCAGCCAGGGAAGGTGAGAAATTATTTTCAGTCTGCAAAGGTAAAAGCATGATTTCTTCTCTTTTCTGTACCTCTGAGGAAGTGTAAGAATGATCTTACAACACCCTTGGTTCTTTCAGGCAAATTTACATGATTTCAGTGAGAGCTGTATGCATGAACTGCAAGGACCACATGGCCCAGCACAGCAATTATCTTTTTAACTTACAGAAGTCACTGCCAAGTAACTGGTAGTGATTACACATTTCTCCACTCCATGCATGCAGCTTCACTGGAAAGGAAAAGCACAGCAACTCTGCCTTAGTTTGCACAGAGACAGCCTGTTCCTGCATTTTCTAAGCCCCAAAAGCTCTGGGGTACCAATCCACTCTACTCTGACTTTCAAATAGCAGCCATGGGACAGGGAGCAGGTCCTAGCTCATCAAAATTTTAGAAAGCAATTTTCAAGCTGCTGCCAGAACAAGCTGAAATGTCTCCATAAAAGTTTCATCTGTGCATAGTAGCTGAGAACAAAACCAATCTGTTTCCCAGCATTGTTTTGCTTTGCTGCTGTGCTCATATAATGCAAACCCATCAGTACCGCTCTACTGGCAGTTTCCATGAAGCTGATTTTCAATAAATCTGCGTATACACTGTGCTAAATTGTTCCTTCTCCTGCATTGCATTGCAGAGCAATATTACTCAACACAGTATAAAATTCTTAGTCACCGCTATCACTGGGCTTTCTGTGGCACAGACAGTTTTCTGTGCTGCATCCCTCATTTTACAGAACAAACTGGAGCTTGTTTTTGTTTGAAGAGCATTGGCCAACATCCTGAACACTACTCATTAGGGTCCAACATGGAGCGTTTTGCCACCTCCCATTTCTTGGGCTACACCATTCGGTATCATTAAATTTGTACTTGGCAGGAAACTGAGTCACCCATTCTTTTCTTCTTTGATACACCACATTCAATGGCCATTCAAAGCAAGGTCAGAGCCTAGCAGTTCAGCCCTGTGATATGCTAGTTTCTCCAGAGGAAAGAGAGTGATCAAGCTCAGGTTTATTACGGTGTTAAATTTATACCCTCCACTTAAGCTAATGATAGACATTTCTGCTGTCTGATCTGACTGGTCCTCGCTGCCCAACCACTAAAGCATTTTCTGTCATTATCAATTAAAGTGAGGACTGGCAATTAGGGGAAGAAGAAAAGAGAGCAGAAAAACCAGCCAAGATTTCAGTGATATATGGAAAACAAGAACATCCCTGCACACTCATCCAAATGCCCAAAGACCATCAGGCAGAACAGCCTGGGAAGCTGTTGTAACATCTGGTAAAGACAGGAGGAAGGGTGGGTTGGTAAAACTGAAGAGAGGACCAATGCAACTCACTGCTTAGGACCACTTCCTAGAAATAAAGTTTCAGGAGGACTTTATTATCCCAGAAAAAACTTGTATTGCAGAGAAGGTGGGGGGGAGATTGCACATTTGCTGTCAGTGAATTGTAGCACCAGTTGCCAGCACACAACCAGAACAAGCAGGGCATTTTAGGCACCAGGTTCTCCCATGAGACTGGAAGGAGCGTGCCCCTTGTCATAGGAGTCTTGGGGTACCTCACCTCCTCTTCTTCCCATAAAGTCAGGCCTCAGTGTGTGAGACCTCTGCACCTGATGACTTAACATTTTGATAGACTTCAGACACTGCAATAAAGATACACTCCAGATTGTTCTTCTTACTGGCTTAATCTGTGACTTAATTAAGCATGGCAGAGTTATTATAGCAAACTACCTGAAACCGTTCATGCTCTCATCGTGATGTATTGGGCTTGGCACAGCTACACCACCCACGCTGAAAACATGCTATTGATGACAAAACCTGAAAGTCACCACAGGCCTTTCATAATCTAAATTACAGAGACGGTGTCTGAGTAGTAATCACATGGCAAAGATTCTCTCTCTGCATGTTCAAAAACAGTTGGCCTGTGCAATCAGGCAGAAAGGTCAGGAGATGGACAAGGTTATATCTCCCACAAATCTGCCAGGTTTTAGTCCTCTCATTAACGTGGGCTGAGCAGGTTGCACTCCCGTAACATGTGAAATGGCTCTGCTCATGTGACCAGAGGCCTGTGAAGATTTCCCCTTCAAACTACACCCTCGTCTTCCTTCATATAGCTCCATAGGCATTGTGTTATCACATTGATACCTACAAATATAGGTGGCAGTGATCTCAGATGATCATTGTGAGCCAGCATGTGTAGATTTACCTGTTAAGCTGAAGTGAGATGTCCTCAACTGCTCTGATTCTTAGGCTGTCTTGTGAGCCTGACTCCATCACACACAGAATTTCCCACCCCTCCACCCACTCTCTTCTTGCCTGGTTGGTTGAAAATTAGAAGCTGTTTCTCCTCTTAACTTCCTGGTAATTTGAAAAGAAACAAAAGCTCCTGGGGCACCAGGGAGCACTAGTGGGCATGAGTGTGCCCACTGTCCACAAGGTCCCCCTTGCTCTTTCCGGGGTGCAGTCCAGATGACTCTTGTGGTCAATGGTGTAGTCACTCTGCCTGAAATCAGACCTGGGATGCAGTTTCCCTGTTAATGATTTAGTTGAGGGCAATTCTGGGAAGAACAAACACAGCAAGAGTTACTTACAGAACTCCAAAGTTCTGCAATCGACTAAAGAACTGGAGACATGTTTAGTTAGTCGCTAATAACCGAGTGAAATGCAAGCAGGAAATGTCATTTTCTTCAGATAAGGTGCTGAGGATCAAAAGAATTTGGACTTGTTTCCACTGACCATACAGCAATAAATGTGGTAACTTCTGAAAAGGCAGAATTGTTTAATATTTGTTGTATCCCACAGGTGAGGGTTAATGGGTCAGGTTTTCTTAGCCAATTTAAATGATTCAGAAGGATGAAATATTCTGTCTTCATTTGAAAGGAAAGTCTTACATATTCATGTCTATAAATGCTGAGAATGCTCAGTCCAAGGGCTAAACTCCATACCCGATCTTTATGGAGCCAAAATTCAGAGTAAAGATGCACATTTATTTACTGAAAATTTGGTATCTGATTCTTAAAACTGGGTTGGGGGTCCTCTCTAATAAAGCTAGTTTCTCTGGTTAATTGACTTTTAATTATAAGTTAGCTTGCAGTTACAGAATATCCTGACTTAACAAGCTGAACAATTTGGTATTCTTCTCTGCTAGTGAAACTCTCTTCCTTGTCTACCTCTTTTAATGGGAAAGAAAGGAAAAAACAAAACAAAACAAAAAAAAAAACAGTGATGGCATTTGTTGGGGAACTGGAGTAAGGAAAATGTGAAACAGCAGTAAAGGAATTTTAATATTTGTCACATTGACTTATTTCAGTATTATCTGTAAACTGAGTTTCTTTATTTAGACAAATAAATTAGTGCTGGCTGAAAACATCAGAACTTTGTGGATTTATATGGCAAATACTAGATTTTTCATCAAAACATACATTTTCCTTCAATGCCTTTCATTTGTTAGCAGTTTTGAAGTATTTCTTAAAATAAAAATAATAAAAAAAAAAAAGAAAATCAGAATGATTGTTCTTCTATTTTGCTAGAAAAAAAAAAAGTGAATCTTTAAATGAAATGTAGTTAACCTTTATTTAATTCTCGTGTGTTTTCCTCTTATTCACTTAATATTAGTTGGATATTTATGAAGAAAATTACCTTCTTCAATACTCTATTTATAGCATATTTACATCTTTGTTAGAAATTCCTAATTCAAAACTAGTTTAAGTAAAAAGTCATCTAATTGCTTTTTAAACCCACTAAAGCTGTAGATTACCTTAAGTTCATTTTAAAGCAATCCAGGCTTTTTGCTATAAAACAAAAACAAGACTTCTACAAACTGAAAAGTATCTTTGTGTTTATTTGTGTTGGAAAAATACTAAAGACAACATTGCTGGTAAATCTACCTTGTTTTTATCCCAGGAGATGGTATTTCTAATGACTTGAAAAAAGGATCTAGCAAACTTCTTTTTTTTTCACCCAGTCTACCCATTTTCTTCCTCCACGCAGCACCCATCTTTAAACGGGTCAGGTATATGCATGCAGGAATACTGCAAAAGACATGGAGTGTACCTGTAATGACATGGGGCTAAGGGCAGGCAGCTGACCCATAGCAGCATCCCTGGCCAAAGCCTCCTCTTTGCAGAAGCTGGAAATGACTCCTGCATAGCCTCTGTTTGGGATCGGAGACACTTCAGTCTGTACCAGCAGTAGCAGAGTGATGACGTCTGCATGGCTGTGGCCGGTTTCACTTTGAGTTTTCAGGTTCACACAATACTGAAACTCAAAGTACAAATAGTAGAGGGGATGCCCCACAGTACTGCAAAGTGAGCACACCAGCTCCATTTTCCAAAACCTATGCAAATTGAAGTTGAGTTTTGCACAGCCTTACCAGGTAAATCATGCTACAAAGCCAGCTAGCACATTTTACTGTTATGAGCTCAAGCTTCCCTCAGGGTTGCAGCAAGTGACTGGTCATCGAACCTCAAAAACTCCACCTTGCACTCCACTGAAGCAGGACGCAGAACTAATAGAGTGCTCATTAAACTCTCCAGAGAGCCCTCATCAGAGACTTATGCTGCCCACTTGCCATACAGAACTCACTGAAGCAGAGTAGGATTTAGGTGACAGCTTTTGTACTGGTTCAAGCCATGGAATGAATTTCACTGCAAAGCAACACAAAAAGACCACACAACTGGCTTCATCTAAAGCTGCATGTGAATTGTGACCCTCTGTAGCTACTGCCAGCCTGATTTAGATATCAGAGTGTTTTGTGAGGCTTATGCATCATGGTCTTATTTGAATATGCAGCAGTCACAATTTTTGAAGGAAAAGATTTCCTGAAAACACGTAGCAGAAATGTCACTTCTGAGGAAAGTTGAAAAATTGAAAGATGTGGAAAGAAGTGTTTTCAAAGGACAAATGTAAAATTAAATGCTAGTGCATGCTGAGAATGTGAAACATAGAGGATGCCTAAGTTGTGATAATGCCATTTAATAAGTGTTCTGATTCAGTTGCAAATATTGACATTTTCTCACATTGGAAAAAAGTGTTCCTCGGAAATTTTGACAAATAGGAACCTATTGGAATTTATATTAACTTGGATCCTCAATTGAAATGGAAACTTATGGAAATACCATTTCACAGAGAATCACCTATATAGACATTAATGAGCACAAGATAGAACAGGATTTAATGAATCACCAACTTGTGATTCTATTCCACTAAAAATGTCTGTATTCCTTCCTCTTCTCATTTCAGGAAAAGTGCAAGCAATCATGTGAGTTTTCAATTGCATGGAGAATATGGTTTTGGCTGTCATAGGCTTGCAGGTCCACTGTCTATTACTGGCTACCACTGCAAAGTTATATTATGGAAGCTACATTAAATAATGCCAAAGCACTAATCTGAAGTCAATTAACAATTGTTACTAAGGGGTATTTTACTCTAATCCTTAAATAATTCACCTTCCTTTGATGTTAATAAAGTGGCTTAGAGAAGTAAGACTTGATGGAAAAAAGCCACAGATGCCAGAAATAACAGTTCTTAATAACTTAAAGCAGTTAACAGCTGCAAAGCTAAGTGTAACATTAAAATGTATTAGTTAAAGAGATGTATATTTATTTAAGTGTGCTTACATTTTATTACTAAAATGTATGATGTGATACACTGCAAGATTTAAGTGGTAGAACTTTTTATTACCATTTAAAGTGTTCAGACAGAAAGCAGTGGAGAACGAGGGATAATTCAGTGCATTTTTGTGGGCAGCACCCACATGTTCACATTTCCCAATGTTTTATTCTTTATGGGAAAAAAAGCGTGCACAGGGCAACAACATGTTTTTTTTCCCATGTAAAAATCATGTGCCAATGATTCACTAATTCCTATTTTTCCTTGTGCTCATAAATGGGCAGAGGGATGACTGTCAATGAAACTATTAAAGGATGGAGAATACCTCAGAGAGTCGACATTCCAAGTGATATATTTAAGATAAGACAGATTCGAACAGGTCACTGGTTTGCAGTTGCACAACTGTCTGGATTTTTTGGATATAGTTCATTTCAGGGTAGTCTCCTGAAATTCTGACTTACACACTGTTAGAAGCAAAACAGTTTGATGAGCTGACGTTACAGTCACTCCCAAATGTTAAAAAAAAAAACATGAGTCAGGGAAATCTAGGGAATGACTTTAAGAAAGACTTACATTCTTTGATTTGTTTTCTGATTTCTGAGCCATTAGAGTGCACTCCCTCCACACTTTCTGGCTTTGCTCTGTGCCAATGCAGACAAGAAATTAAAATTAATGATCAAAAATACAAACCAAAAGTCCCATGGAACTAGTCACCCTTGGGATCTGGATTCACAACAAACTGGCAGTGTATCCTGAAAAATCCATTCCCTCCATCTGTATTTTTATGTATTTTCTTCATTTTCCTTCAAACTTATGAGTGATCAGGTTTTATTTGTACATGTCTTCACAGAAAATCAATGGTAAACTTATACCCTGGACTATCATCAGTGGGAATTAGAGAAAGTCATAATCTCGGAGAGAAGAAAAGCTGCTAGGCATTTTAAGAGATCATCAAGGCCATTCCCTCCAGTAAAACACCAACAACATCAGAGCTGTGACTTCTGTATTCAGACAATATTTATTATCAAAAACATTTGTTTTTTCTAATTTCAGTACCATTGTGGTAAAAATGTAAAGATGGAAAAAAGTGAATAAACTTAATTTTTTGCCCTGAAATATATATTTCTGTTATTTGTTTAAATAACCGGGGATTTCCTCATCCTATTTATAAATTTTATTTTATTTTATTTATTTATTTCTTATCGTAACAGTAGTGCTAATACTACGTGGGAACAGAAATGAATCCTTATGATTTATATAGCTAGTCACAACCAAGCCAGGTAAAACTTCAAATAGCAATATTGAATATTGCACCTTTTCATCCCTGCAGTCCCAGAAAAGCTGGTAGAAAATCTCTTTATAAAGGGAAAAGAAAGACAAGGACAATATAAATTATGAACTCCACAAAGTCATCATTTCTGGTCAAACTAGATATAAAACACAAATAAAAAACAGTTAAGACCATCTTAAGACAGCTAGCAAATTGTTAAGTATTGCATATGGCTCATGCACTGAGTAGAAGCAGCTCCCATGAGGAACAGCTGAACCTCAGTGGTTCTTCTGCATGAGTTGAATCCAGCAGTTATATCTCTGACATTAGAAGAAGCTTTACTCACGGAAGCTTAGAGCTTCTTCCCCACTAGAAGATGTTCAAGAATGGCCATATTTACTGAGCAGCTCCTTAATCATTTCTCTTTCCTGTGCAATTCTGTAGGAGACTTATAAATGAAAGTTGCATTAAGTTCTGACTTTTTTGTAATGCACATTGAATCTCTATAATTTTCCAAAAGGCTAGTTTAATTCAATAATCAATTCAAGAGAGTACTGATAATATAAAGTGGCAATAGTAGAAAATGAAGGTGTAAAACATTATAAAGTGATCTGTTAAAAACCGATTAAACACAGAAAATCTGAACCACAAGGTCTAATCTGAACTGGAGACTGCAGGGGCTGTGATAGGTGTGAACACTCTTTGATGGTCTATTCCTTTCACATAGTAGGGAAATAATTCTGTGTGAAGTGGGCTTTGGTAAAGAGCAACCATTATGATATTTGGCAGGGTGCTTGGGAGCAGAGAAAGAAAAAGTACTGTCAATTAAATGAAAACATGATGAGCAACGGAAGGAAGAATACAGAAACTAAGCAAACGGTAAGAATGGGTGCTGTGATGATTATGGATAAGCTGTTATGCTTTCTCATGGGGCAAGAAATCAAATATTGAGCTTGCCATAGATGTACTTTGTGATTTTGTGAGGGCCAGATAAATCTTTGTGTTTGTTTCTCCATCTGTAAATCATGGATGAAGACGTACTCGTGTTAACAGATTATTACAGGATTCCCCCTACTCTCTTTTTGCCAGGTGTTCAAATACCATGGTACTGAGACTTGTAGGAAAAGATAATCCTGACTGTATTGATATATTGGAGAAAGATGGGAAGTAAGACTAATGATAGGTTAGAAAAACATCATTTTTTTTGTAAAAACTTTTAGATTTCCTATTATGCATTATATGATACCCATCACTATGCCCTATCTCAACACAGACTATTGGCGTAATCACAATGGACTCTTGTTACAGCAACCAGCAATACTTTTTTTCAGACAGTGAGACTCTACTCATAACACTCTCTAACATGAATGAAGATCATGCTTTCTTTATTACATGAAATGTGTTTGTATGGAGAAGTATGTCCAGTCAGTATTGCAAGTGTTGTCCTTTGTCCGTGGGCACTACTGTGTTTATGGAGGAGAAGGATAGGACAAAACTGTGGGTACAGTACATGCATTCTGTTACCAGAACTCCTGAGAGAGAGAAAAAGGGAAAAGAGCAATAAGATATACTGACAATATTTCATAGACTTGCTCCATTTCTGTTTGGTTTGACTGGATTGAATGCTTTGTTTTAAATCTCTGTATGCTTGGCACTGGATGCAAGGTTTGGACCGAAAATGTGGCCCAAAGAGTATTTGAAAGGATTAACAATCAGTTCTGGGTATGATGCTGCTGCCCTCAGGTCACTATTAACAATACATTATCTTCAAATATATACTAGTAGGGTGGCTTTCTGTTTTTCATACAATATGTAGGTAACTGAGATATCCAAGATGAAGGAGAAAGGAATCTAGTAGGAAAGGAGGTGCTCAGAGAGCCAGGTTGACTCTCCTATTTCTGCGTTTTGTTTCTAATGTGATCCAGTCCCCAGTTAAAATGTTGTTCTTCTTCCAAATAAGTTTTTATTAAGAAAAATAAAACCACCAAAGAGGATGTTGTGCAAGCTATCTGGAGCTCCAGAAAAGCAATGATTTACACACATACGTAGTGGACAGTTGCAGAGGTTTTACTCACCCATCTTCTGGTACATCCCAATACATGCTGACTTTCCCTTGGGGAATGGCTGTTTCCCATTGGCAAAATTGGGGTTGAGAAAACAAAAACATTTCCAGAAATAGACATGCCAGCATGTCATGCAATCTTTTGGGCTTTCTTGCAAAGTTTTTAAGAGAACAGAATATGGAGGATGTGTTCCAATAGGTAGTTGTTGTTGACAAAGATCTTTTATTCTTTTTATAGCATATTTTAATGCACGTTCAAACTGATTTACCATTCCCTATCTTGCTATTGTCTCTACTGAAATTAATACATTGATCTTAGGACAAATATTTTACTACAGAATTTTTAAGTCCAAAAATTAAAAAAGATAAAATTAATAAAATTTAGTAAATTAAATTAAGATTTTTTTATATTTTTTTTTCCTGGAGTAGTCAGGGCATTGTTCTTTCTTTGTGTGTAATGCATTTGCTCCATCTGCATCCTGATGCAAAGGGGAAGGGACAGTGAGGTCCCCTTCCAAATCCCTTTCTCTAGTTCATTGTACAATGTCTTCCAGTGTCTAGAGGACGAAGCTGGCCTACCTCTTCAGCACTCGAAAGCAGGGATCCTACAGTGACTGATGTCTGAAGTCATCGTCACAATGAATTGTAGCTTCAACTCAGTTTAGCTCTTCTCCATCACAGGAGGGGAAAAAACGTAAGTATCCTGTTTATGATTTTGTTCCTTCATCCCTTTACTCTGTGGAAAAGAGTAACTATCCACAGAGTAACACAATGTTGGTATTTTAAGACTAACGTGGACATATCTGTCACAAGACTACTTTTTAAAACCAGTAGGTTCTTTGGGACTATAGGTAGCCTTTTCTATATCTTCTGTAAAGCAGTAAATATAGTGTTGGAATTGAATAAGTACTAACAGCAAAGTAGGAATGAGATATGCTGACATGCTGACTGGCTCTGTTTAGATCAAGCCTGATAAGCTAGATTCAGATTTCAGTGATACACTGATGTTTCCAAATGAAGCCCTCTGCACTTAGTGGAATTAGAAGAAAGAATTTACTCATGTATTCTTCAGAGCAAAATCTATTCTATGACATTTATATCTCTAGCTTGGTGCAGATGAAAGGAATCCTAGCAGCCAAATATTAGGTAGTCTTTCTGAAAATGAGCTACCTACTCACTTCAGTGAACAAAACTGATGTCTTTCTCAGACTGAAAAATGAGAAATGTCGTTATCTCTTGCCACCTCCCATGACAAACATTTCCACTGGTATTGTTATGTATGAACTATACATAGACTCTGTACCCATCTCAGAGATGGTCATTCAGAGGGACCACAGAATCTTGCTGGAAAGATGGCTGTGCTCCATCCCCAGTTATGTTTTAATTTTATGTGTGAGATACCAGTACTTCCTCCTATGCAAGCACTCCCTACAGATGCAGTCCCCTTGGCTGCATGAACCAGTAAGATCTATTTTTACATAATGAAGAAGAAATAAATGATTGTTCAGTATTAATTTACTACCTTGTTCTGAAAGCAGTAAAACTGCAGGTACTATGGGTAGATTTATAGTGTACTCCAAATACTCCTCAGCTGTTGATGATTCAGGTAACAAATCTTATGCAGCCACTGAGTCTTTTCCTGCAGAATTGGTATGCTGTGTTACTGTATTTTCTCTGCTTGTGTGTTTACTCCTGAGAGCTCATCAGCCTAGCTAACAAAACAGGCCAGATCACTTATACGAGTTGTTAACATAAAACCCAGGCATGTTTACCCCAAAGATACTGTGATAATATAACAGGTACACTTACAAGTTTGTTAAAAGTGAACACAGGGTCTTTAGAGGCTTTTTTGATCTAGCAAAGCTAACTTCTCACTAGAAGGCTTGAAGTTATATAGTGTTTGTATTATGATTTAAGAGTATCTAAAGCCCAAGTGTAATCAGATACCCATTTGCTGCTACTAACAGAGAACTAACTTCCTTTTTCCACGGGTCCTGGGTGGGGGGTGATTAGTATGCTTTGTATCACAGTTTCAACAGAGAAAAGCAAAACTATCTATTAGGAGTCTGTTTAGTCAGTATGGAAATGACTGCTGCTGCGTGCCATGAGGGGTGCTTAGCTGACTTGAGCTAACTCACCAGTTAGACCTGGCTTAGCAATTCCTTACTTACACTGCCACTCCTCCAGACAGATGATAACTAACTCTGCCTTTGACTAATCTCTGCAGTTCACAGAGTCCAAATGGAGTTGAATTTATGCTGATTCTACTGGGCCAGTTTGGAGTAAATCTCTGACAGTTCAGATGGAATATGGAGTGGATACTCTATATGCAAAGTGCCTTGTGCATTACACTAACATTGGTAGGTTAGAATGTGGCCAGCACTCTGTCTTTACAGACATTATTTGAGTTGAAGATGAATAAATATTCCATCACACTTCAGGAAAACATATTAATATTTTCTTTAAAGAAAATATTTTGAGACGTTCAGAGGTCTTGTGTGAAACTAATTTTCTTGCCGTATGTATTTTCAAGGAACTAAAACATGATACAGACTGATATGACAAGATCTGCTGCAAACACCACTCTTATTCTAATTCAGCCTGTTTCACTCATCTGTAATAGGCTCCAAAAGAAATTGCACTAATCTTTATAAACTCCAGGGTGAGGCATCCATAAGCTTCCCCCAGGTCCATTATAACTGTGCACAGACACCTAGGTTTAGCAAGCTCCAGAATTTGCTGCAAAGTAAAGGCAGGAAAGAGTTTAAAT